TAGGAAGATTGTTCCACAGTTTTGGAGCAGAGGAAGAGAAAGATTTATCACCAGCAAGTTTGTTGGATTTGGGAACAGATAAACAGGAACCGGAAACAGAACGGGGAGAATAGGTAGAGGTTAAGAAAATCAACAGGCAGGAGATATAACTAGGATTGGAGGACTGCAATGTATTAGGCCTAAATGATGATGATTATTATTATTATTATTATTATTATTATTATTATTATTATTATTATTATTATTATTATTATTATTATTATTATTATTATTATTATTATTAATATTATTATTATTATTATTATTATTATTATTATTATTATTATACAGATACATGTCTAGTAATGACATAATTGTTGTACAGTACATGCTGTTACACTTAGTATTTGTATGCGATTTTGTATTTTCACTGTTAACACACAAAAAAGATGACAGTGGCAAAACAGGGGGAACGTTCCCCTCCCTAAATCTTCCCCTGTCCAACATTGTGGAAACCGAGGAACAAAATGTTGTGACTATGGCAACTAGATGGCAGGAAATGGCACTCACAGTCTTAGGCCTAAATTTGAATATACCTTTCCTCTTTTATCTCTATTTTTTAATTTTCAAAGAAGTTTGGGGAGGGGGCCTGGCCCGGGACGGGGTGGTGGGGCAGGGGAATTAAGGGGCGAAGGTTAAGTGTCAGTGCTCAGTGATTAAGTTAGGGAGATTCAGATGGCAAAATATAGTGATATGTGGCAATTTTGTGAGTACTTGAGAAAAACTTTTTTTTGCAAAAGAATATCTAGTGGAGATGTGTGAGGGGAGAAAGATTTCTGGGAGGGGGGATATTTTTTGTGCTCTTATTTTCTTCCCAATGCATCATTGATCCCATTATATGATATCAGATAGAATAAAATGACTATTGTATGAACAATGATCGAATTGCAATTTTTTTTGTTAAAAACTAATTTTCGGCAGCGGCCATTTTGAAATTCAAACTGGAGGCCCTAGAAGTGAATAAAAAAGCTGGCACCCATTTTTTTCTTAATCAGTGAATTTTTTAGATATGTTTAGACATGTTTGCCAAGAATCTACCCAAAAAATTTACAAAGTTAAAAAATATGACATATAAGAAAACAGACTAAGTTGTTTCAGAATTTTAGGCAATAGCGCCACCACTCGGCAAGTTATGCGGCGCGCCATTTTAAAAGCGAAAAATACGATATTGTATACATTTATAACTGTACTTCCTAACTAGAAAGTAAAATTACAAGCTTAGCACGTCATAGGCCTACATGCCATGAAATCAAATGGACGTACCAACTGTAGGTTTAGTGACACCGGCAGCAAAGGTATGTGGGCCTAGGACCCTAGGCCCTAGTCTAGGCCTAGCCTAGGCTAGGCTAGTAGTAGTTAGTGTAGTAGGAGGAGTAGGAGGAGTAGTAGTAGTAGTCTAGGCCCTAGTAGGCCTAGCCTAGATAGAGGGCCTAATATCCTAGCCTAGGATTAGGCTTACCTAGCGAGGCTAGGCCTATGCTAGTACTAGTTAGTAGGAGCTTATTATGCAGGCCAGGGGCAGGGCCTAGCCGCCTCGGCCTTTAGTAGGCTAATTAGGCTAGAAACAAATGACTAGCCAAGGCCTGCCCAACCAACCCAAGACCCTACCTCTCTCTAGGCCTAGCTAGCTACAGCCAGCCTAGCTAGGCCTAGGCTGGCTAAATAATAGGCCTAGGCCCTAGCTACTGTAGACTGCTGACCTTCTAGGCTCTAGGTAGGCAGGTCCTAGATTAGGCTAGCCCTGGGTTGAAAAGGTGGGAAAATAATACTAGTGTGGTTTACGCCCCTTTTCCCCCAGTTTTTAAATATTAAAAAATCTGTATCTTATTATTTATTAACCGCCTTCAAGTTTTTCGACAAATATGCTGTTTGTATCTTCTTAGTAAAAAATCCTGTTCTCACAAACATATTTTTTTCATCCTGAGCCTGACCTCAATAATGATTTATAGAAGTAGTATTTATGCAGATATGAAATTATATTATAATTGTGCAAGTTTTGGTCTTGTAAATCTATATACTTTCATCCTCCAAACTTGGTTGTGTCATCCTTCAAGCATGTGAGATTTTGGCTAATCAATATTATTTAATTATTTAAAAATTCAAATGTTCCAGTTTGTTTTACCATTCCTTAATTTTTGGTATTTTTTCATATTCGTACATTATGAATTTATAATATTATTCATTTATATTGTCTTTCCTAAATAAATAGATTAATGATTCTTCTTTTTTTGTACCTTCTAAAAGCAACAGGATTAAGGACTAAAACTAATGTTAAAAAAGGTTCTAAAGAAGCTAGCAGTTATTCTAAGAAGGGCTTTTCAAAGAAACCAAGCGTCAGTGCTGCTGCAGTCAAGACACACCCAGTTAAGCGGGTATGTTTTAGATGGCATTTTGAAAGCAAGGTCTTTGCTGATCTGTAAATGAATTCGCACTGTGCTGATTGCTTAATAGATCATGTCTTTTGTACGAGCAGCCATTGGGGCTAATGCACTCTACTCCCTCTACGTAATATACTGCCCTTATCACATCAGAGCTTTCGAGATTACGAGACCTTGTTTTATACAGTATTGTTGGTTAGATTCATTTTCATGTACTATAATATATTCTTTATGTGCTTGTGTGTTACCTTACCCTGGATACACAATGTGCAGGGGTGGATCCAGGGTGGGAAGGGGGGCATGGTAGTTGCTAGAGCTCTTCCCCACCCCTCACAAAGAAGAGAGAAGAAAAGAAATGAGCAAGAAGGGAGAGAGAAGAAAATGGTATTGAAACTGCTGCATCATACTTCTATTATTATATACTTTCAGATATCAGGGGGTGATAATATTCAAACAAAAACAAAGGGCGAAAGATCAGCTGAACCTTATAAAGAGCGGGTGATTTCCGGTAAAGCCCTATCCAGGTGGCATGCATTGCCCATAGCCAGCCAGCAACACATTATTAAAGTATTGGAGAATGTTATCTGGTAAGATAATTAAAACACCTGGCCAAAGCCTAGTTTTTGTATTTTTTTCAAGCTCCCAGACAAGGGGGTCCAAGCTCTCAGACAAGGGGGTCCAAGCTCCCCCGACAAGTGTCCACACTCCCCCAGGGGAAAAATTGTCTTGATTATGGTATTCTTTAATAGGATAATTTGATAGAAAACCATGCAAGTTAAAAGGCCCCTGTCATAGGTACCATCCCCCTGGCGGTTTTTAATCCCTAAAATTTTAGAGATTTCATTTTTCCCCCGACGACCTTGCTGGAAATTTCCCTACAGTGGGCCCAGAGGTCCCTTTTTTGCCCCTGGATCCCCACTAGCGCCCCCTGTTGTGATCTTAAAGGTACCTTGTTGGCCAACATCCGTAATATTCTTGATATATTTAATTTTGATAAATTTATTTGTTCTCTCCATACTGGATTCTAGCCTTGTACTTAATAATACCAAAGGTGCTGTCTATGAGGAAGTTCAAACTCACCTGAACCAATTGAAACTAAGGTAAATCTTACCTCAATTATTATTATTTTACTTGAGCACTTTCCAAGTTGATCAATGGGCTTAACATGGAAACAAGTCTTTATGACTTTCTTGAAATGTTTAATGGTAGAGAATTGCCTACATCACAAGGCCAAATTTAAAAGAAAGCTGGATCACCGAACACCCTCTTTTTACAGCTGGGTTATTTGGTGACATCTTCCTCAGACCCAAGTCCACTTCTACTGCACTCATAGAACTTAATAAAATCCTTTAGATGTTGTGGAGCTATATCAAGACAGCTTTCAATCACAATTACTGTATAGTCAATAAATAATACTATTTCTATATTTTATTTTCAATCCTTTTTAATCACTTGCATGGTGGCACCTGATGTTACGGTAGCTGTAAAGAGTTCTTTGGAAGTATTTTGACTCAATAAATATAGTCAGTGCCATTTTTGTTACACGACGTTTATGGTTTGGTCGCAAAGAGTCTGTGTCAGATTTTTTAAATTTTTGTTTGGTTTTTCTTCAACTATAATTTTATTCCAAATGTTCTTAATTGAAATTGTTACTTAATGTAAAACTTTCTTGAAGTTTTGTCTTGTATATTGTTAATTGACATTTTGAACGTTATATTTTGATTAATTTTTCAGAACTGTACACTTATATCATCCATTTTTTATAATATATTGAGTGCCATAAAGATGAATTGAAATAAAGTTAATTGAGGATATTTCCTGATTTCACCACAATAATTATGTATTTAACTATTGCTATTTTAATCAGGCTAGTTAACTACCCATGTCCAATTATTAATTGATTTATATAGAATAACCAGAAGTCTGACCAACTTGAAGGTACCACCAGTAAACGATTACAAGAAACTAGAGGAGCAATGTGTAAGTACACAACCACCAGACCTGGGTCCCCCCTCCCCCTAACTGCACAACCACATACAAACACACATGCAAAGAAGACTATTTAAGATATATTTTGTTTCTACACATGTATTTACACACTATCTGGCATCTGGCCTACAAGGTGTATTGTGTATTTTGATGTGGTTTTTACAATAAATGAAGGAGTAATTTTACCTAAATGTAGTAAGTTTCAATTAGAAATCTGTTTCCATTTTAAAACTGTTATTTTCTGTTCTAATTGATTTTACCTAATACAGTACTCTTCTTACGTTTATTTCAGAAACTACTGGAGGAAACACTTGTAGAAACAAACAACCAATCAGAATGTCTGGACGAAGAAATTGAGAAAATGGAAATGTAAGAACATCCCATATTTGGCATGCATTACATGTGACTTTTAATAGACCTTTACACTAAGCCCTGCCTTTTGGATATCGTTGGTAAGGTCCCACAAAACAATAGTGTAAAATGTATGTAAAACATGCGTTCGTAGGACAACACACATATTATATGTATGTATTCATCATAGGGATATTCATGTTAATAATGTAAATTTACATAAGCATTGCTTTTACTTTTAAGGGAGATTGAGGAAAAGGAGCAATATCTAGCTAATTTAGAGAGAGAAGCCAATGAAGAAGAAAGCAATGGTAGATATGTAAGTAAATGCAGTACACATTTTTTATTTAAAAATCATAATTATTGATAAGCATATTCTGAAGGCCAGAAATTTACAACAGAAGTATTGAAATGTATGTAAATTCCAATGAGCAACAACAACAATACAGCACAAGTGAAGTTGACAAAATGTCAGACATCACAGAAAATTCTCTGTTTTTGGCACTCAATTGCCAATATTGTATTTCAGCAACTGTCAGAAGTTCAAAAGTGAGGTCACATTTAATTTATTATTCGGTAGTATCACGCTACAGTTGAACTTGCCTAAGTCGAATCCACAAAGGAATTTAAAAATTGTTCCACTTAGATGAATTTTAACTTACAGATTTTTATTTAATGGAAAACACAACAATTTGCTTAAAAACTATTTGAGTTAGGCAAAGCCTACTGAGGCAAATTTTGATGTACATCTTAGGTCTTTTAACGTAGCATTATACATTCTTCACTGTCTATAGACATTTCCCAATGCTTAGAACAAGTACAGTCAAATACTACTTAATAGCTTAGAGTACTTTATTTTTATTATTCTTAATATGTCAGAATCTTGCTATGATGGTAATAATGATAATAATAAGTAAAATCAATTTGAAATGCTAACAGTTTTCCTATTTCTTCAGCTTCATCCAGCTCTGGAGTCTACTTATTATACAAATCAGCTTGGACTGCCCTCATTGTCAAATCCAACCTGTTATTTTGGTGTAAGTTAAAATTAAGCACACCTATAGCTTATTTTTCATTTGTTTGTTGAGAAATATTTTCCAAGAACCAGCTTTGGTCTTTATCTTATGCTGTTTTTTGCTTTAGTCCTTAAAATTCAAGGGCAAAAAAATTAATATTTTCCCTCGACTGGAAAAATTTGGGATTTCCAGTTGGTTAAGTTTTTGTTTTTTTTAATCACAAGCATTATGGAAATCTGGGTTATCGAATCACAAATATTTCCTCTTCTGCTTTTTAGGGTATTCAACATATGGATGATGATGTACAGAGAAAGTTGTTGCAGTCTCTTAGCAAAGTGTCTACAAGCAACAGTTCTCAAGAAATCAGCACTCTGTTAAACCAACTTGGTCCATAGCAGTGTGAATATGTAATGATTGATGATTTATTAATAGTAGATCGTGATCAAATTTCAGGATGCACCCTCCCTTCCCCAAAACAATTTAATATTCTAGGTCGTCATAATGTATTTCAATATGAGTCGTTGATGGATATTCAATAGATTTTTCCGCCCCTTAGATATTTTTCATTATTTTTATGTATGTATCGTAAATGCTCGAACAAGCGCCACTCAAATAGATGCTGCACCAAACATGATTTTTTTCGCTTAATCGAGAGATATATCACCCCTGCGTGTAATGAAACACTTTGAAAAGCAGGGTTATAAATACAATGTATACAGTGTTAAAATGAATAAATAACACAATGAAGACACAACCATTTCTTTATACGTTTATTTACGATGACGTAGGACCTATGATAGACCTACCTAACTACGAGAAATAGGTAACATGGAAACGGGCATGGAAAGTGCCACACCAATAGTTTTTATAAGCGCTGCTCTCGAATAGATGCCACACTGAAGCCTCCAAAAGTTGTATATGTGCCGCAGCGCTTATTCGAGCATTTACGGTACATACAGTACTTGCATTTGTGCGATGTTTCTTGCCCGTAGTGATCGGTCACTTAATTTAAGTTTGATTGACACTTAATTGCATTTTTTATTTTTTTAACCATGGTTGGGGCTGAGGTACAATATTTGATGTCTAGATGGCCAGAAATGACACTAAAACTTTGAATGCAAGTTTCATCTTCCCATATTTATTTGTTAATTTAGGGGGCTGGCTGTTCCCCCATAAATCTGTCTTCGTTAAGTAATTTGTAAATAAAAACCTGTCTGATAATTCTTTGTTATTGTTTCTGTTAATATAACTTGGCAATATTACTTTACTCAGTCATATTGTCGCTTATCCCACGTATTGGCACATACGATAGAAGTCATTTTAGAAAATTTGCAAACACATTCTTTCATTGATTGCTTCATTCACAAAATATCAAGTTTCCGTATTATTTATGATTCTTCATCTTTGTAAAATATTTTGCATTGTTATATCCTAAAAACAAAACATTTTTGGCCTGTCCTATCAGGTGAACATGTAATATTATTTTTGTTACTTCAACTTGCTGATGGTTTTAACATCTCCTGCATTAAGGGCTTTAGATTTTCTCATACTGTTCTTTGTAATATATTTTATTGAAATCTAATAAAAATGTCTGTGCTAAAATTTTGTTTCACTAGTTTGTGAGATGAGCGGCGATGTTATGCTAATGTTGTTTAAAAAAAAACACATTCAATATCATTTTTTTTTCAAGAATTTATTCAAGAAGTAACATAGAAAACAATGTTATTAATATTATTTGATGAAAAACATTAGGCAAATTTGTCACATAACACATGTGCATAGTTCCTCAGTGTAAGCCCACCTCCTCACTTTTGAGAATTTTTAATGTAAATTGCTACTCTCTTGTATAAGCCCACCCACTACAGATTTTTGGAAAAAGATGAAATTAATAATTTCCTTTAAATTGGCTAGCTAGGTATTTTATATTATTATTATTATGAGACATAGTCCAAATATTTTAAGCATTTCTGGGCCTACTACTTTCATTTTTGTGTTCCAGAGGTTGGCTTATATTTGAGGTATAAGGAACTACTTTAAAGGCGATGTACACTAGAATAACCTCAATATGAGAAAACTTGTAATTATCAAGCTGGCAAAAATAGCCTGATCCTAGAAGACATTGTAATAAAGGCCTTTAGTCTCTATGACTTAATAAAAATTACTTCATAGAAATTTAGTATACTCATACATTACTTGCACTCTTCTCTTATACAAAAGTCCCTGACATCTCTCTAGGAAACCTTTTATAATAGCCACAATATTTAGGTATATCACATCACTGCACCTGATGATTTTTTTTTTTTTAAATAAAGTATCTTGAAATTGCAAATTAATCTTCATTTGCAATTACAAGGCACCTCCCTCAGAGTATTTCACATAATATAATAATCTTTATTTGAACAAACAATTTTGTAAGAATTGAGAAGACGGTATACTGTACTTAGATTCAGAATCGAATCACTTGCAAATCATATTTTCTAGTGAAATTACCTGTATTATTATTTGCAGTTCAATCAAATTAAGAAAGCACTGTCTACAGTTTAATATTAGGCAAATACAGTATGTGTGATTTGTAACATGGGCTTGTGATGAAATTTCAGACCCATATGTGGGCAAATCATATGTATGTAACTTGATAATGTAAACAGCTCTCATATCTGCTAGATCAAAAACAAGATTTCCTTATAAACTCTGCCATTAAATATGGTAATTTAAAAATTAATAGCTCATTAAAAAAAAGGATGAAATACATTTTTAGCTCATTACAAACTGATTGGAGCTAAAATTCTGTAGCAAGACAGATTTCAACAAGACATCCCGGCATGAGTATCCATGTGTCAAAACTGGAAATTACATTACGTGCACTTTACAATTCAAATTTGAATATCAATGCAAGAAGACATGTCAGACAGGATGGAGTCACATGTACTCAAGTGATACAATTATGCATTTAGGTTAGCTATAAACAACTATAATACTGTATGACACCAGACAGAAAAAAGCACAAAAACAAACTTAAGGCTGAACCTGGGGAAAACCATGGAGGAAAAGAGGGCACAATGGCCAAGATTTTGAAAATATACAAGCAAAAATGTTGAGGGTCGGAAGGGGAAATGGTACAATGGGTTGGGGAGAGATAAACGATTCAGAATCTATTTGTAATTAAATTGGCAAACATACGAATACGGCTTCTGTCAATAATAGGCTGTACACATGTAGAATAAATCACTACAGTTAAACTCGCTTAAGTCTACTTTGCCTAACTCGAATAATTTCCAAATGGATTTTGAATTTAATCAAAGAATTCTAAAGATATACAGTATTATCAAAAAACATAATTTAACTTTAGTTAACATATATACACTCTTAGTAGTATGACTGTATCAAAAAGGCATTCAAAATAACAATTAAAAAACAAACATGTTAACTATATTAATGCAGGTTCTCAAGGAGGAATGAACTTCTATAGATCGGTGGTTAAGATGCTTGCCTACCAATTCTACTCCATAAGCCTTAAGTAGAGTGGCAACAACAGTGGCAATTCAATCACTGATAATTAAATAAAATATATTTTGAGATTATTATCAGTTTGAAACTGAATACTGTAAAACACACATAAAGTTATAATGTACAATTAATACAAAGATAAATTATTTTGCACTCAATATATTTAAAGGTCATTATTTACAGAATTGGACTAATTATTGCTTACTTTAAAATCAGTAAGTTAAATTCTAGTGAAAGTGATTGTTTTTGGAATTTCTTTTATAAAACCCTGTACTTAAAAAAACTAAGAAATTTCAATTTGGGTACAACATAACAAAAGTGTAATGAAGAATACATTCTGTACCTGCTGGTGTAAGATCTAAGGGAGTGGAGTGTATATGTCTCTCCCCCCCCCCCCCCCAAAAAAAAATTTTCCCACTGGAAATTTCCTCATCACCTCATTTTTCAAGCTTGCTCTCCCTACTTAATCTTCATCCCCCTTCCCCAATCAGGCCCTCCCCATGTTTCTTATATACACCACAGTTTCCTTTGTATTAAACCATTTTAAATATTTTCAGCTCCACTGTAAACCAAAAGATCCCTTGCATTGTCAAATGCACCACTACACAAATCAATGCTGTAAGAAATTATGCAGGATAACTAATTTTTTTTTTGTTTTATCTTAAAAATGCATTTTGGAATATATTCTTAATAATTATAATAATAACTATGCCATATGTGGTTTCAATATGTAGGTTGCTCCACATTTCTCAAAGATGAAAGATCATATTGGTTTCTAGGTGCAAGTTATTTCCAATATTGGTGCGTTTTTTGTCTTTCTGCATGGTGGCGCAATAATGTGTGTAGCGATATGCGAAAACAATGCAAGGAGTCCGGTTAATTAATTGAATGAACCTTACCATCAAAGATAATATAATGACTAATACTGTATGACACCAGACAGAAAAAAGCACAAAAACAAACTTAAGGATGAACCTGGGGAAAACCATGGAGGAAAAGAGGGCACAATGGCCAAGATTTTGAAAATATACAAGCAAAAATGTTGAGGGTCGGAAGGGGAAATGGTACAATGGGTTGGGGAGAGATAAACGATTCAGAATCTATTTGTAATTAAATTGGCAAACATACGAATACGGCTTCTGTCAATAATAGGCTGTACACATGTAGAATAAATCACTACAGTTAAACTCGCTTAAGTCTACTTTGCCTAACTCGAATAATTTCCAAATGGATTTTGAATTTAATCAAAGAATTCTAAAGATATACAGTATTATCAAAAAACATAATTTAACTTTAGTTAACATATATACACTCTTAGTAGTATGACTGTATCAAAAAGGCATTCAAAATAACAATTAAAAAACAAACATGTTAACTATATTAATGCAGGTTCTCAAGGAGGAATGAACTTCTATAGATCGGTGGTTAAGATGCTTGCCTACCAATTCTACTCCATAAGCCTTAAGTAGAGTGGCAACAACAGTGGCAATTCAATCACTGATAATTAAATAAAATATATTTTGAGATTATTATCAGTTTGAAACTGAATACTGTAAAACACACATAAAGTTATAATGTACAATTAATACAAAGATAAATTATTTTGCACTCAATATATTTAAAGGTCATTATTTACAGAATTGGACTAATTATTGCTTACTTTAAAATCAGTAAGTTAAATTCTAGTGAAAGTGATTGTTTTTGGAATTATCTTTTATAAAACCCTGTACTTAAAAAAACTAAGAAATTTCAATTTGGGTACAACATAACGAAAGTGTAATGAAGAAGACATTCTGTACCTGCTGGTGTATCTAAGATCTAAGGGAGTGGAGTGTATGTCTCTCTCCCCCCCCCCCCCAAAAAAAAATCTTCCCACTGGAAATTTCCTCATCACCTCATTTTTCAAGCTTGCTCTCCCTACTTAATCTTCATCCCCCTTCCCCAATCAGGCTCTCCCCATGTTTCTTATATACACCACAGTTTCCTTTGTATTAAACCATTTTAAATATTTTCAGCTCCACTGTAAACCAAAAGATCCCTTGCATTGTCAAATGCACCACTACACAAATTTTAAAAATGCATTTTGGAATATATTCTTAATAATTATAATAATAACCATGCCATATGTGGTTTCAATATGTAGGTTGCTCCACATTTCTCAAGATGAAAGACCATGTTGGTTTCTAGGTGCAAGTTATTTCCAATATTGGTGCGTTTTTTGTCTTTCTGTATGGTGGTGCAATAATGTAGCGATATGCGAAAACAATGCAAGGAGTCCGGTTAATTAATTGAATGAACCTTACCATTAAAGATAATATAATGACTAATATTTATTATTTTTTTAAATACATATATTTTTTTTACATTTTTAAAGATATACCGTCAGTTAGGCGAGACTATTTTTATACCTTGTTTAGCGAACCCACCGAGTGCTAATATTGATGATTTCAAATAAAAATAAAATTTTATTTTTGACCAATTAGTGCACCTGCAGCCATGATATTTCAAAAAAATATAAAAGTTTATCTTTATTTTTATTACGTCCTCTGCTGCCTTAAAATCTCGAAAGATAAGATATGTATATTTCTTCCTAATTATATAAATTTGAAGCATTTAACAATCCTATTTTACATTCACTAATGAAATTTTATTTTTATTTTCCCCTCCGTCCGGATGATTTTGGCAAACTATTTGATAAATATGAAAACAAAATTTTATTATTATTTTTATACCGCTATCCTCCAATAATCTTTAAAAAGTACACAAAAAAGTACATGAAACAAAGAATAAAAAAGTCTTGCCTTATAAAATAAAAACAATTAAATTTATTAAATTGAATCAATTAAAACAATGATTTTGCTCAATTAAATGCACCAAATACATTAAAATCTTTCAATGAGACACAGATAAAATTTTCACTCATTTACACACCTTTTACTATACTGAAAAAAAAAATCACAAATTCAGTGGCTGATTCAGGGGGGAGGGCCCCATAATGACCATACAGTATTAATTTTGTCAAAAAAAAAAAAATTTGAGTCTGGACAAGGCTTCAAATTCTAGCACTGTCTGACCTCTTGTGTTGATTAGCAGGGAGCAGTCATGACTGCTCTGCTATTATTTTGTAAAAGATCCACCAATACAGGAAAAATGAACATGGAGGAAAATAATATTTTTCACCATGATCCAACAGACATTGATGGACCCCTATGGCTTTGTGGACCCCAAGTTTAAATCTAACTGAATTTCCTAAAAATGCTCCATCAGCGAAAAGCTTCTGTAGGCTATGATTTTACTACAGCAATTTATTCTTCTTCTACAGCAACAATCAACAGTTTTTATTGTTTTTAAGGGTAAAATCTATTGTTAGGCCTAGCCTGGGTTAAGCAGCTCGACAGCTAAAAGCTTGCTGTCGATCCTGGGATTGACCACAGCAGTGGAAGGCTCTTTCTACAGCCATTGCTGTTGGTGCTGTGGGGAAATTTGAACCCTGATATCTGACCAATCATAATAGGGCCAGGAATGCATATGTCCCACAAGCACGTTTTCATACATCTACCTGTGATTTTGTGGGACCTTAGAAACAATATCTAAGGGGCGTGGCTTAATGGAAAGGTCCACTTGACCTCTTGAGGGTCCTTTGATCATGCTTGGACTGATATAGCAAATTCATTATATATAAACAACATAATAATTTGTGACTGAGGTCCATTAACAAAGCCAATGATGTCTGCAAAATTTCTTTACAAAATATATTTACAATCAATCAATACTTGAGTTTCTGAACAAATGCAGTTCATAATTATTCATAACCACCTCATACATATGAATAATTTTTGTACTTTCTTATATTCCAAGGAATTTCACCTTTAATATCAAAACAATGGTTGTTTTCATGATCTACACACTGCTATCATCTTCCTCAATATCACTTCCTTCTGCCAGTGGAACTCTATTATATTTACTCCCAAACATTCGTTTTAAGCGGATCATCTCATTCTTCTTAGTGGACTTCAAGCGTCTTATCATGTCTATATGATTGAATAGTAAAATAAACATTAAAAAATAAACAATGATCAAATCAGTATAGTAACTGTATCGTATTAAAAAATATACTGCTTATAGAGGGATAACAGATATTTAACAAAAAAACATGTCATCATTAGATTAAATTAAACAGGAAAAGTGATTGAACAATGGCTTGATTCAAAGATGACAGCAAAAATCAGAATATAAATGTGAAAAAAGTATCAAAAGTAACAGGTTTTATAAAAATAGTAAGCAAATCAACAAATAAAAATCATGGTTTCTACCTGTAGTACAATACTGTAAACACGCTTTAAGCATGAGCATACTTCATTAATAAGCAGTGGTGGATCCAGGAATTTGAATAGTTGGGGCCCAGGGAAAGACTTTCACAAATGTAGTGTTTAGACCTCTTCAGCCCCCATCAAGGTTGGGGCTGAGCTAAGAAAATTTATGATTATGGAACCTGTAGATGGCAGGAAATGGCACTCAGACATAAATTTAAATATACTGTACTTTTATTTTTTTCTCTATTTTGTTTAAATTTTGAATAATTTATTGGGGGAGGGGGCCTTGAATCCACCGCTGTTAAGGCTATGCTGTCTCGACTGCCTTTCAACAGCATGTTACTGAGTACAAGTGTTGATGTGGGTTAATCTATTCATGAGAATGTTGTCCCGCAAACCATGGTGTTGAACAGCATGTGTCAACAGCTGTCGACAACTCACATCTGCCATCACAGCCTTGCCTTTTATTGCAAGGCAAGTACAGTACATGATATCCTACAGTATTGTTATTCCTACATTGATGATCAATATGTACTTCACTGCTTTTGTGAAGCCAGTCTATTAAATTTGATGTCTTGTTTAACTATAATTTCAATAATGATTACAAACTCAGATTTAATGTACAGCAATACTGTTCAGCTGTAGCTTTCATTATATGCTTGCTTTCCAATCAAGAAAAATCTATACCAAATTAAAATGCACATTCGTTTAAAAATTATTTGTAATATAATAGAGATAATGATCAAATTAAGTGTTCAGCAATGTTCTAGCCAGGGATGTAGTTGAAGTTTTCCACCCAATCTAAAGCTAATTTCATGGCCCTCCACCCACAAATTATTAGATTATCACTGGTTTTTTTTTTAATCGGAACAATAAAATATTGCTTTTTTTTTTATTAATGAGGGAGGGACTGTTTTTCTTTGGCAAGAATATTGTAAATATTGTATAAAAACTGGTTTAATTTTATTGTTTTATATAAAAAAATGTATTTCCAGTCACAATATTTTTAAGCTGTTGAAATAAATGATGTGACAAAAAAAATTTTTTTATTCCTGCATCAATATTTCCCAAATCAATATTTCCCAAATTTTGGAAGCGGGCGGGAGGGATAATCTAACAATTTTTTCTATGTGCCCTAACCCACTTTTTCATCCTTTAAATCCACTCTTACTTTTTAGAGGTTATTTTAAATGTTATCACTGCAGGGGCGGATTTAAGGCAGGGTCCCTTTTGCAAAGTAAAGTGAAAAAAAAAATAGAAAGAAAGAAAAAGAAATAATAGATCACCCGAACGCCTTAGAGGTTATTTTCGGATGTCTAGGAAACAAGACTTTTGCGGGCGAATTCCCCTGGACCCCCTAGGCTAATGTTCATGTTCCTCGGTCCCACTTTCGGCCTCCCCCTTTTGGGAATCTCTGGATCGTCCCCTGTACCAACTCTTAAAATATCTATCACCTACCCTCAGTGGTGACGCAAGATATGGCCAAAAGGGGTCCCAGGTCCCCGACAGGGGGAGCCAATTACCCCGACGAAAAAGTGGGAATGGTCGGGCATCGCTCAAAATTAGTCCATGGGGGTTGAAGTCCCCGTAAAAAAATATGACAGTTTAGGGGTTTTAAAGGCTTATTTTGGGTCTACACTAACATGTTGAAAATACAGTACATATTTTTATTTCTCCCTGAGAAATTGTTTTTTCTCCCCGACTGGGGGCCTTGGCATCCCGCCTTCCCCCTTCCCCTACTGGCGCCACCCCTGCTGACCATTAGTTTTCTACAGCTACTGTACAACCCTGTTAGCGATTTCATTTTTTTAAAGTAAATCATTTAGATCAACCAATTTACAAGGGCGGATCCAGAATTTTTGAAATGAGGGGACAATTTCATATAAGCCTAGACGCAGGACAATTATACAGATAAATATGTATCGTATAATGTGTTCAACAGTTATGAAATATTGTAACATTTAGTATTTGTATACCATTTTGTATTTTTTTCTGATAAAAAAGACAGCAGTGGCAAAACCCCCGTTTCCCCTCCCTAAATCTGTGCTGAATTATTATAGTAAACATGAAGTGCTGTACATTACCAGAAACATTTGTTCTATTGAAATGGTGTTGAGAAACAGCGGATTCTTCTCGGCTTTTAAATCCATAGAAAAAATGGTTCCTCTTTTTCCATAAACCTGTATACAGCACAGACACAGTTAACAACATTAGGATAAAGGTCATGCTTCCCACAGCCCATGTCGCATCACTGAACCGTGAAATTGGCCCATCCAATGGAGCACACTGTCCATTCTTGCACTCGGTCTCAGACGTTCGTTCCTGAAGTTCTTCCACGTTTGGTTTGACGCTTTTTGCAGTTGGCTTCTGTAATGGTAGTGTCATGTCAGAGTGCTGTTGCTGTACAGCTGTGACAGGCATTGGTCTGTTTGAGGGCGCTTCCTGAGAGGCGCTCTTTGGCGCTGTTGTTCTTGCAGCAGTTGTCACAGGATGTTGTAATGTGACACTTGCTGTATTTGTTGGTGTCCTGGGGTGAGTTTGGTTAACAACATGTTTTGTTGCATTTAAATCCTGTTCAAGTGGAAAATTGTTGGGAATCTCTTTATCAGTTTTTGTTGATATGTTGACTGCATTTTGTGTGCCTTTGGAAATAACATTATCATCAGAGTGTTGCAGTGAAGAGTCAGGTAATGCTTGTGATGGCTTAAGACCAGGAAGAGAACTACCTGGATGGGGAGGTGAAGAAACTGGTGTTTCGGAATTTGAACCTGCGTTAGTCTCAGTACTATTACTATCTTGAGATGAAGAATTCACGGATGGAACTTCTCTTTTAAAAACAGGATGAGCATTGTCATAAGCATTTCTCTTTCTTTTCAGAAAATATTTCCTGTGTTTTTTTCCAGATATAAATTCCTGTTCTCTTTCACCACTCTTAACCCTATGCACAGCACCTAACGCTGTCTCAAAATTTGTCAGATACGGAGAGCTGACAAAAGAAAAATTTGAATATCTTTTTCGTAAATTGTTCACAGGGGTCCTGTTTGCATTAACTTCATTCCATTTAAAAATATAATTATTATTTACATTTACTCTACTTTCTTGATAATTGTTATTGCTTCGAATGGAATGATCTGATTTTCTTTCATGTTGCAGCATCTGGAAAAAAGATAAAAAAAATTTATTAAAATGTAGGCTAAGGGATTATACAATAACATGCCTATACTTTTAATGTATTTTTGTTTATTGCATTAACCCCACAATAGTAATAATAACAGTCAATTACAGGGTTCATAATTAGCTACCTATAGGCAAATTTCTACTTGCCAAAACATAGCACAAGCAATCCAAGCTTAGCTTACTGTACACTCAGTAGCATCACAGAGTTTGTGGGACCCTGGCGGTGATTGTTATTGGGGGTTGTAATAAGCAAGCAAAGCCAGCGTTAAGTTTGCGAGGGGAGCAAACAATCAGACGCCTGGGGCCAGGGGGCGCGTAAGGCCCCGTTCGGGATCCAGGGGTGAAGGCCCTAGTGGGGTCCGAGGGGGCTTAGCCTCTCGTGCTCAGAGCTTATGGCATTTATGAACTGTTAACTGCGTTGTCAGAGAACATAGAATGGTCCATGACTGATGAAATATTTCAGACAATTTGATGGCAAAACCAATGTAGGCCTAGATTACATAGGCCAACTTTCAGAACTGGTATAAACCTAGGCTTACAGTAGGTCTTCTTTGCACCCGCATCCAAAAACATGATGAGGAATGCAACAGCCCGAAACATTTCCAAAACACTGTCGGTATATCAAAAGACACCACACTTGTGTCACGTGTGACATCAATCAAATTCGGTTCGCAAGACAAACTGCAACATAAACGAAAAACTGCAGCGATCGTTTACATGAGCCCTGAGAAAATGCAGTTTCTGTATGATGATGCCAGGCCAGTGTATTTCCAATGTGTAAAACTGTCGGTGCCCATTGCATGCAACTATAGTATTATAGATTATATTATATATTTTTTTTAAATACAGTGTCAGGGCCCCTCATGCTTGGGGGCCCCTCGTGCTTGGGGGCCCCTCGTGCTTGGGGGCCCCTCATGCTTGGGGGGCCCTTGTGCTTGGGGGCCCCTCGTGCTTGGGGGCCCCTCGTGCTTGGAAGCCCTGGTGCTACGCCACCGGTCAGCGATCAGGCATGATGCCGCGGGTGCACACCATTTTATTTATTTCACCAATTTTTAAAAACTTACAAATGGATAAGACAATACCCTAGTCGGTGGCAGGATTATGGATAAACAAAAAAAAAAATTAATTGCCATAGACAGCTTTTTCCTCCGACAAGGGAATAACAGCAACATTCAAAACATTAAATATAAAAATATAAAAATAGTTTAAAAATAGATATAAAAACATGGAAAAATACAACGGGAACAAAATCGAAATCACATCAAAAAGAAAAGATATTAAACTTCTCAAAAAAAATTAGGTATGCTGATGCTAAATTCATCTCGGAGGTCAGTAGGAAGTGAGTCTCATAACCTTTGAAACTGGTTGAAAGTATGAATATATTATAAGACAATCAGTACGGTTATATTGATGTATAAATTTAAGGTGGTCATCCCACAGAGGTTAATTGTATAGATGCCATCGTAAAGATGGAGGGAGGTATTAAAAACCATCCCTACTACTATGCCTAGTCCCTAGACTAGGCAGGCTAGTTAGGCCTAATTAATGACCTTTGATATTTTCATTTGGTTCGCTTATGGTGTTTGGAGTAGATCATAATAGGCCCTGCCGGCCGCCCTGCCTACAGTAGGGACCCTTTATGCCCAAGCCCTACTTACTTACTAGCTAGGCTAGGCTTAGACTTAGCCTACGTATGGCAGCGGAATTCATGGCAGCCTGGCTGCCAAGGGATAATAAAGAGTTAGCCTGTCTGTACTGTATGAATACTAGCCTAATAACTACTAGGGTGGGCCTAGATTTACTCACCTGTTTTGCTGAGAATAAGTTTGTCTTGTGTAACATGTTGAATATATGAGTACGATGTACATTTTTCTGATTGGTTTCAACATTTCGCATCGATTCTACATACGTTACGACTGACAAATACAAAAAAAAGATATAGTGTATAAGCCACTTCATAACTGTACTGTACACAATAAATAATATGATCTGGGTACGTGTTTGTGTCAGGTTTGTGTTTGTATCTAGCGCCCTCAAATTAGCCGTGGGAAAAATCTAACTCTAAAGTGTCGAAACCAACCGTGGGAAACTTATGAGGGAGTGACTGACGAAATGGACCCATGAAACTTGGAAAATGTTAATGTTAGTGTGATGTAACTGACAGTTAATTTTAGGGGCGGCCCCATGAGTTAGCCATTGGACACCCCCCTCACCCTTGGGGATTTTCCTTCAGTCCTGCCAAAAATAAATAAGAAAACCAAACGAGCGATACAATTAAGGCTGGAAGTGTGCAGAGGGCCGACGTGGTTGTTGGGCAGGTGGAAAGAGCTATAATATATGAAATGCAAGCCACCCTTCTTTTATTATGATTTACAGAGTAACTTAATGACCTGTATTATAATCTCGAATGTTGTGCATACGCCGGTACAGTAATTAAAGTTGAAATAAAAAAATTTTGTTACTTCATGGTAACTCTCGGATTACCCCTATCGAGGTAGCAAATGAAAGCACAGTAATTTATTACAGTATATGATAGTGTAATACATACTCCAAGTATCGAAATGCACGCCATAGTGTCGGGATTAAATATTCCTGATGGTGACATAATTAATGTCGAATTATTGAATCCCGACACGATGGCGTGCATTTCGATACTTGGAGTATGTATTATACTATCTTATCTGAGATTAATCAGTGGACCTTTCTGTTTTTATTACAGTATTAGGCCTATTTGGTATAATCAGAAGAGTATAAATTAAATCTTCCCTGGTATATACC